CCATAGGGCTCTCTGCAAGGGTATATTCATTTAAAACAGCCAGAACCAGAAATAGCAACAGAAACAGAAAAAGAAATAAACAATATGCAAAACACGACGAAGGCGTACAACGATTGCATATCAAATATACGCAAAGGAGAGCTCCAGATACATGGCTTTGCATATTGGAGAAAGAATCTCCAATATAACAATATAAGGTCAGTCCGCATCATTTTGGTATCAAATGTCCATAAATCCTGCATCCCCCTACATCCCACTCTGGAAGCCCCTTATCGAAGCTCACTTTATTCATAAATGTACAAATAAATGTCGCAGGATAAATATTTAATAAACATAAGCGAGAGACGCAAATATCGAGCAAAGGAATACACTGACAAATATTGAAATCAAATGGTGGGGGGGGGGGGGGGGGCAATAAAACAGTTTTGTCCCCCAATCTTCTTCTCTCTCTCTCCCCATCAACCCCCAAGTTTATGTCTCAATTGCGTCATCAATTTGCATTTGATGGGGGAAAAAAAAAAACGAAATTAGAGCGACGAGGTTGCTGTGGCTCCTCTGCTTTATTGATCGCTCGATTGACATTGCATCAATATCGTGAAAAAGTTAACGGGCATCAGGCAAAATATCAACTTTTTATTTAAAAGCTTTTCTGTGCTCTTCCTTTGCCGTTTGTTTATCTTTCGTCTTCTGTTTGTCTTTGCGTATCGACTCTGCAGACAAATTGAAATGCTGCATGCATTATGCTACCCTTAAAGAGGGTATTTTTCTTATTTCCAAATGTTTTGCATGCAGAGAGAAACCTAAATGGAATGGAGCGACAAACAAGAAAACTGTACTCTGAAATTATATGCATTTGCGCTTTCCTTGAACGTGGTATCTATTAAGGAAAATAATAATTTAATTAGAGAAACATTTCTTTTCCAATAAAGCTTTATTCAGCATAAATGTATTAACGTTATTATTTTTTATGAATAGTTAATTATTATTTTGAATTACCATCGAAGACCAATCTTCAGGATCGGCTTAAAATTGTTTTTCTTTGTTTCTTTCGTTTCTAAAATTCACTTCGATTGTTTAACAACTTTCTCGCCATAATTTGCTGCGCATTCTCTGGGTATTTCGGTTTTGCATTATAGACCCCGAGCCTCGATCTTCAGCTTTAAAATATTTTTTGTATTTTAGTCAAGTGGATCAATTGATTGACTTATTTTCTTATGTATGAAGCGATTCAGGTGCACAGTTTCACATGGAACTGATTGTGTAACCTAGGTTTTTCCCTCATCAGGCATTCATCATGTCCGCCATTAATAACCAATTAATATTCTATATTTTGAGAAACTTTTCTATACAATTAATTTAATTTCCGTCTCCGCCTCCGTCTGTTGCGTGGGGTAACACATTTTCCTGTCACATCAGCGCAAATTGCCATCCAACGATGCAGCCTATGCACACTCATTAACACAACAATGCTCGTAAAATGCAAACCAAGCCACCTACCGCTGGGGGCGTGGACAATTAATGTGACTGACACACATGCTGATTTTGGCGCCGTTCGTTCGCGTTGTCATATTTGATTTACAGTTGCAATTTACGCACTTTCCCAGGGAGGAGGAAGGGAGGTGGGTCTCGACTCCGAACACAGGACTCTGATCGGGAGAGTAGGAGGCTGGCCGACAGCTGTCCACGTCAGCATCCGGCCTCTGTTTGATGTTGTTAATTGATTTTCAAAGTCAACTCCTCGGGTGCGTACTGCCATGGAAAGAGCTCGAGGGATCCAAAGCGAGAGGAGGCACAGAGAGAGAGAGAGTGAGCGAGAGCGAGAGAGGGGGCCGCTTTCGCTTTCGCCCCACTCGGAGATTAGCAGGGCAGTGTAAAATGCATCTCTATTGAGGCGCAAGCGACATAAAACCAATTCCCAATCCGCATTCGTTGGAAAATTTACAGACTGTGGATATACCCAGTCCCCAATCCCTTCAACCACTTCCCATTCTCCTCTCTCGCTCTCTGATGTGCATTGTAAGTGCAACGAAGCGCATTTGCAGCTGCTATGTTCAAGTGGATTTCGGAGTTGTTCCTGCAACGAGTTGGGTCAGGGTACGGGTGGGGTGCTGGAATGAATGTAGGATTGGGCTACGTGTTTGTTTTATGTGTGGCCATTGTCCAGTGTCCCTTGGACATGGGACTGTACTGTATCTGTTGTCTGCCCGTCCGGGCATGCGGTTCAATCAAAGCGATTTCCAATGTCCACAAAATTGCGCAAAAGGACATTTTGGTAATTTCAACGATGTCACCCGTCCACAACCAGGAGCGGAACGCATCGCGATTTAAGCAATTGATTCGTATGAGTTTCTGCCCCTTAAAAAGTGGAATCTGGCCTCTAGCTCTATCTTTAGGCGCCCAACTCCCGCTCTCTGGCTAATACGCTCCTGGCCTCGTTGTTGGTAATGAGTTTGGTTTTACTGTTTAAATTTAAACGTGTCCATCAGCCAGCAGAAGGACTATCAGAAGCAGTGGAAGCGGAGGGAGCAGCAGGCAGTGGCTGCGGCTACAGTTCTAAAGTGTATTTGCATTTAACGCTAAATGCATTCCAACAGGGATGGGAAGGGGCCAGGGAGGGGGACGGGCCGAGCCTGCCTGCGGGAGGCAAAACATGACAGTTGCATTAATTTTGATTGCGTAAATATTTCAAGTGTGCGGATTGAGGGAGAGCGCTCACAAAAATGTTTGCCCAAGGCCCATGGACCATGATCCGTGGCAGGGGCAGTGGCACAGAGGAGTGGCAACGAATTAAGTGATTGCCATTGAGATGAGCTGATTGCAGCACTGGCTGCACTCCTGGCTCCGCTGCTCTGTTTCCTGGGAGGGCAATGCATATTTAAAGTTTGTTGAAGGACCTGCAGCTAATGGTGAACTCCAAGCAGAGAGTCATACAGTGCGATGAACCCTCCATTCACCCTGCAGAGAACTTTTGAACTTGAACGGCAACTTTTGAAATTAAAGCAACAACAACCAGAGAAAGCAAGAGCATCGAACCACTTCGTATCCATTTCTCCAGTTGAAATAGTTTTACTCAACTCCATGTCCCAATCCCAGTCGGAAGCCCAAAGCGAAGGCTAATTTTAGACACTCAGAAAATGATTCAACCCACAAATGTCTCAAAGTGCGAAAAGTGCATCGAAATTTATGAGCACGTAGCTGTCGTAAAACTTTTGGCGTTGCGTGGCGGGAGGAGGACTCCAGCCATGCCCTCCCGCATGACGTGATAATTTACTTAACTGCCTATGCCCACACCAAACAACTAACTCGATCTGGGGAGCATTAACAAGATGCAAACATCAAATTTTATTATGTCTAGGCCATAATTATGCGAGATTTGTTATGGCGGGTGGGTCTGAAGATGATATAGAGGTTAGGCAGGTTAGGCCTAGAGCTCGTAAAACTTGAGCAGTTTAGTGTTCTTCATGTATTTATATCCTGAGTTCATAAAAGTTTATCAAATCTCTGAGATTAGTCAGTGGAATCGTGATTTTTGGTGACAATCAACCAGTTTATTGGCTGAATCTCATGTGTGGCATTACTTTCACGCTTAAGTATTGGGAACTGCTTTTCTATTCTATTGTACCCTCTCTTCAGCCGTCTATTACCATTGAGCAGAGACGAGCTCCGGTCTGGCCCCAGCAGCTCGACTGCAGTTAAACCCTGAAACCGCATTATCGCCGTTTGTGCCCCGTACCGAGCAGCTACTGCTCATCTGAAATCGTCTGTTTTTTTGGGGTACCAGCACCGCAATGTCTGTGGCATGTGGAGAATTTTCCCATAAGACTGCATTTATATGCTTTCATACACTTATCAAAGGGTATAACCGTTGTGGAGCGCATTGCAGTACTCCTCTACTTCCACATGAGCTGTAGGGCATTGAATGACTCGACACACCCTAGCTTAAATTGTGTTTTTTCTCGCCAATGGATAGACATCATTTAGACCTTCAAGAAGCGAGGGAAAGGGAACAAAGAGCAAAGCTGTCGACTGCTTTTGCGGTGATAACTGGGAATTAATTAAATGTCGCGGCGAATGAAATTAAAATAAAAATACCAAAAGCTTCCTTTGGGACTACTTAAAGCGAAAGGAGGCAAAGGAAGGAAAGCTTTAGAAGGCCTCTGCTTATCAGCGTACCCATTAATAAGGGACTAAGCCAAATATGTATGTATTGAGGACATCTTGCAGAGGGACTTTACTTTTAGTTTGGGCAACTCTCTTAGTTCCTCTCTTCCCAAGTCTGACATTCGCTCCCGCCCTGTTGGGGTTGCTCTTGTTACATAAACAATAAATGTTTGCAACAATGAAAAGGCAGTGGCAAGGGTAAGTGAAAAGGGGTTAAGGGGAAATGGAAAGGCATTTCCTTTCGCTGCACAACAATTCCAGCAGAAAAATTGCAACTCTTGACTTCCGCTCTAAAAGTTTAAATTCATTTCCGACTTGAGCTTAGATTTGAGGCGAGAAATTAATTAGAAGTTTGCTCAGACACGCGACCGAGTCCCTTTCCCTGTCCTTCTCTATTCCCGACCCTGTTGGACAGTGTGGCGTGGTGTTATCTGCGCCATTTGATCCGGTTCGTTGTTTGTTCGTTCTTTGTCTTGCCTCTGCCCCGCATATCCAGCGATTTATTGGCCAATTGGCAGACATTTTTTCGGTAATTTTAAGCCATTTGCTAAAGGTGTTTCCGTTGGCGTGGAGTTGTAGATCGTACCAAGATTTATGACATATTTTTCGGTGCAGCTTTGAACTGCAATTAGTAGCAATTAATTTCGATTAACATTTGAGAGATGCCGCAGCGGAGGAATGCAACTCCCTCCATCTCTCTGTTGGTGTGGGCGTTAGACTGTCAAACGGTTTGCAATTGGAAGGGAGTGACAGAGATTTATAGGACCAAACAGCGCAGAACCCCTCCCTGAAAAGAGAAGAGAAGCCGCTTTTATTTGAATTACTCTATGTCTTTGCAGGACTCAAGGATCCAATCGTGGACAGGCATACCACTAAAGGTGAGTCTTCCAGTAGCTATTCTTTCGCAGATACAATCCGATCCGAAATTAATTAAGTAGTACACTAGAAGTGTAAATTGTCTGGAATGGTTTAGAGCCGAAGACCGAAAAATGTTCAAAGCACAAAGTAACCAAAACAAAGGGTTATCCACTATAACTACAAGGCACAGACGGACGCGTCCGTCCATAGCGGGACCATAGTGGGACGCTTCCCCCTCCCCAATTTCCACCACAATAACTATAAATTTCTCAGGCCCAAGGCAACCACAGGCTCTTTTGGGATCCCTACCCTTACCCCAACTACCGATACATAAACCAAGCGGCTCTTTAAAACGCAATCAAGCTGAAAATTAATTAAAATTTTCAAGCGGCAAGCGGGATATGAAATTAATGCGCCATGCCCCCATGCTTTTCAGGAAGGTAAAGGCAAGGTTTAAATTAAAACACACTTGTAACAGTCTTAGACGATGGCTGTCTTGGCTGTAGGGATGTTGTCGTCTTCGTCGTCTCTGTCTCCGTTGGAAGTCGTCTCGATTTCATTAAAAATGTTTTTATGCTCGCTTTATCCTTTCACTGTGGCTGCGAATGAGACATGGCCAGGGGTTTCCCTCCCCCCCCCCCCCCCCCCCCCCCCCCCTTTATAACCTTGCTGGCAGCAATTTAATTTGACTATGAAACGCTTGCCGCATCCTTGACACTTTCACTTTTCCCACCCTGCCCCCAAAAATCAACTTGGCTTACCACGTTTCGCTACCCCTTTCGCTCTCCACGGGAAATGGCTTGTTTTAAGCAGCTTAAGCTTGTCGTTGACGTTGTCGTTTGTCGTGCTGTTGGTGCTGTAAAGGTGCTCATAATTTCACGGTAACTGAACACACACGCGTCCTCAATTCGTGTGTGCTCTCGGCCCTTCCTAGAAGCATTTCTACACCACATTTTCCACCAACATTTGGCTTTGAATCAGCCTCAAACGGTGAGGTGAGTCAGAGAGCAGACATCTCTAGAAATCCAATAAAGTTGAGTGCGGCGGAGTCGGTGAAAGCTTCAGATGTGTCGGGTTTGCGGAGTTTGGTCATTGCTTTTACAGAACTTTTCCATTGTTTGGATAGTTTTCAAAAAAGGAGGAGCTGTAATGTGAATCAAAGAAGTATTTTTTAAATGGAGAATCGACCAGCTTCGATTCGAGCTCCATTCCCTACACCCAGGGTGCTCTCAGACAGTTAGTTGTCTTTATTAGATTTTGATGAATGTTGTTGATGACTGGAAAAAAAAAACAAAAAACTCATTGCATGCTTTGAAGCCATTGAATTGATTCATTTCGGTGTATTCATATGCTTTTAAGCGAATTAGTCTGACCAGCTAATCTGATAAAAGATGGCAAAGAGAGAGGAGAGGAAGAGGTTGTCTTGTCTGGTGAACCCTTCATAATTATCCTTTAGCTGCAAGTCATGCCATAGGTAGAAAAACTCATATATTTTAGCTCTTACCCCAAGATTCCATCTCCCGCTCCATCTCAGGCCCCCACTTAATTCTCATAAATCACAAGCTAAAAGAAACGGTAGCAGCAACAGGGGAAGCAGGCGCATACCACACATATCATAACATTTAACATATTTCACTTAGGCAAACATTTGATAGGGCAACTTGTCTGGCACCCACCCATACCCACGGCTTGGATGGCCTCCTCCTCCTCCTCCCCCGACGAGGCAACTCTGAAGGATAGAACATATTCCGAGAGAGAGGCAACATTTTCATTTCAGTTGGCGTTTTTATTTTTATTTCATATTGCACGTTATCAAATAATGAATATCAAATGTAATGCTTATCATTTATTTGCCAAGAGCTGAAACCGAAACCAAACTGCGACCCTCTCCCTTCGTTCTGTCTGAATACCTCTCTGACTGGCTGCCTGCCTGCCAGGTGGCAACATATTATAATATTTACTTAATTTTCATTTCTAATTCGGCGCCATCCCCCCCTTCGTTTCGCTTTGGTCGAGGAAGGCACAGGGACCGAACCACAAGAGGACCAAGACCAAAGCCAAGACCTTGGACCTGGCATAAGGAAAACTGGAAGAAAGAAGCCTGCATAATCAGCGAGTCTCATAGCTAAAGTTTGTTTCTTGTGTGCCGAAAGTCAAGTGATTGGGTGGGTGGATGAATGGTGGGTTCAAGTGGTTCTGGTGGTGGTGCTTCTAGTGGCTTGTATATGTCTGTGGATTGGGTATGCGATGTTGATGCTTGCAGGTGGCTTAAGCTGCCTCTAAAGCGATAACGTCAGGTATTTGAATTTTTAATAAAACGAAATGCGAATCCCTCTTTTGAGAATGATGGCGCCACACTGAAAGCCAGGTACTCTTTCGTACTCTAACCTCTGATGCTGTGAAAATTCTGAATACCCACAGAGAAGCCCTCAGACCAGTAGATGTATTCAAATACGATTCTTGGCCGCCATTTTTCCTGTCACTGGCTGTGAAAATTCACAGCTTTCCCTCGCTGGCTTTGCCCAGGCTAATCTTTTGGTCAGCTATTCAACTCCCCTCCACACCGGACCACTCCACTTTACGAGCATTCTCCTGTCCCTCGGATGTCTGTCGCCTTGTTGTCTATTCGCTTTTTTGAAATTCCAATTTGAATGCTTCGTGGTTTCTTCCTAGGATGGCGGTCCTGGGTCTAGGAGTGGGGCCAGGAGGGACCAGCAACCAATATTATATTATTCAAGCCATCGTATTTGTCTGTTCCCGCTGTTCCCACCGCACCCCTCCACCCGTTGTATTTGAAAATCGTAATTAGAATTGGTAATGTATTCAAATTGACTTTCATTTCCGCTCGTTCGTTTGCTCGCTCGTTGATTCCTCCATTTGTTTTACGTTTTTGTGTGGATTTCTTCATCCGGATTTTTGCGCTTTTCGCGGCCCTGTCGGTCACGCGATGAGAGGAGAAACCGCAAGGAGGATATCTATCCAATGACTCGTTTTATCCACTTTAAATGCCACTGCCACCAAATGATCAACTGCCCAGACAACGGACCCTGCCATACAAAGGAACTTTCGATTATCGCCAACCAAGGATACACTTTTCCATCCATATTTCAAAATCTCTGTACGTGAAAGTTTCCTATCCAACCAGAGAGGCAGAGAAAGATGCTGAGGGAAGAATGGCAAAGGAACTGAAACTTTTACTGGCTGGAACGCAGCGAAACCGTAAAGAATTCAACTAATAAAAATCAGGCATTCAAGTGCGAAAAAATCGCGAAAAGCATCATCAAATAATGTGCCACTCAAACTGAACCCCGTCCACGCCCATGCCGCATGCCACCATTGGAGTTGAATCCACCGAAAGACAAATAGAAAAGAAAAGTAAAGTAAAAGGCAACTTTGAAACAAAATAAAACTATGCGGAGATACAGAGAGAAAGACAGAGAGAAATAGAGGAGAGGAACTGCAAAAGTTTCCCTAACCAGAATAACCGAAAACCGAAAATACTAGAGAACTCTAGAGATGGGAGCGTGCGGATAAAATTCTATGAAGCCAATTTAATATATCAGCTGTTTCCGATTCAAAAACTCGAAATCATTTAACGGCGATGACTCCGTCGTGTCACGAACACATCCATAGCCTCGAATTGGAGCCATACGTCATACGGAAAAACTTCGATAGGTTTGCCCATGAGCGCGGCGGCGTGTCTCCATTTTCTGTGGGGGTGAGCGAAAGGGATGCGTATTTGCCGGGCACATATTTCGTCTGCCACGAAGCGTGCGAAGTATTTTCCCTCACGAGTGTGTATGTGTGTGTCTGCGCAGCGGAAAAGCAATTTTCCTTTGTGTCGTGCACAGGTTTTCACTTGGCATTGTCTTCCTTCCGCACTGAGCTGGCAAATTTGTTGCAACCGAAATAAACACTTTATTAAATGCATTGGAATAAGCGCCTGGCATTTGAGTATCGAAAGGAAAACTCTCTGTGATTTTCTTTCTTTCTTTCCCCCACATGAGCTGAGTCTCCCAACTGAGGGAGGAGAATAAAGGATAAACTTTGAGCCAAGTGTAGTATTTGGTGCTAAGCCCGAGTAAGAGTAAAAGATTTGAGACACGAAATGCGAGCAGAAAGTGGATTGCTAATGCACTTGAAAATGGGGGGAAAAAAGAGATCCGACATAAATATCCCATTTGAACAGGCAAAGGTCCTTACAAATTATTACTTATTTATTTGTTGCTTTCTTTTGCATCTCTCTTTATTTTTCCCGCCCCCAGAGTTCCAGTTTGCCAGTCGGAAAACTTCGCTCCGATTATAATCGAAGCCAGGAATCAAATTATGCTAGAATTGAGATTGATTTTTTATTCAATTTTAATGCGACAAATGCAGGCAGATAAACAGACGAGGTGGACTCGTCGCACACACATGGCCCGAAGCTCCTGGCCCTAAACAGGGATCCAAACCTCAACGAACACGTGTCTGGGTGACTGGCTGCCTGGGAATGGCAATGGGGATGGTGCAGAAATTATAACAACGATGGCACACGGGGGAGTCGAACTGGATTAGGTCGTCCTCCGAGGTCCTCTTTATGGGGAACTTTTTGAATATTACAGCATAAATCGATTAGCTTCTAGCAGTCTCTGCTTCATCTCACCCTCATGCATACATAGATGTGTTTGCCTGTATCTATATTAGTGTGTGTATGTGTGGGAGGGTGTCTGGGTTGTCACTGATTGACACTTGAAGCGAAATTTTTTTGCTTGCTGCTGTTTGCTGTTCCTCTTCCACCATATCTCGCCATTGATATGCGTCCCATCCACTTGACTCTGTGGAACGACAACGGCAACGACAACGACAACGACAGCGACAAGGATGTGAGGAGCAGGATGAACGTCATCTAATAAGGAACCCACACATAACACATAACTTCACTCTGGCGGTGCTCCAGCGCCGACTTGGCAGCTCATCAATACACAGCTTCATCATCAGCTCCGGATCGGGGCTGGCAAATTGGCTTTCAGCTCCTGGCTCT